TATTCAGGTAACTATAAGCTGGACCTCTGAGTGACCCATTATAGGAGCTGGGTAAAGATGATTTATGATCACAAATTATAAAGTTATAACTTGAACAGAAGGACCAGACCAACCTGGTTGCCTGGGCAGAAAGGGAATGAGGCCACAGAAGTAATTGATAGATGTCTATGGAATTTAAACAGAATGTACTAAATACAAAGATTCTTAGCAACAAGAGCCCCCTCTACATCGTCCATCATGTACACCCCCAGCCTCCAAGTATTTGCTGTGAAGCTTCCAATCAGGAAATTCTATTCTTTTCTCTTTTCCTCTTTTTCCCATAAGGTTGCTTTGTTGCTAGAAATTTTCTTATATTGTATCCTGTACCCCTGTTCAGAGCTATAATTTCAGGCAATTATCTAATTGGAGTCTGTCGGCATTGATTAAATTTCCTTCCCTTTTGCCTTAAGATCTCTATGTGATTAAGTGAACACCGTTACAACAATATTTGTAACTTGATAAAGAAAGCCAGTTGAGGGGTGGAAAGATAGTACAGCAGTTAGGGTGCTTGTCTTGCAAACGGCTCACCTGGGTTCAATCCCCAGCACAACATATGGTTCCCTGAAAAAGAATAGGAATGATCCCTAAGCACAAAGCCAGGAGTAAGCCCTGAGCACCACTAGGTTCAGTTTTAAAAACAAAAACAACAAACAAACAAAAACAAAAAGAGAGAGCCAATTGGAAAAAACTGCAAAAAGATCAAAATGCAAATGGAAAGGAAAATTCATGAGTTTTAATTTGAAGAATGCCAAAAATAGTAAAAAAAGTCCAATAATCAGACATTAAAAATTACATAACTAAAGGCTATTCATAAACTCCAATTCATAAATGCCTCTACATCCCTATCATCCCTGTCAAGAGTTTGATAGAAATTGTTTTCCAGCTTATTCCTTTATTTAGATAAGCATTACCTCTTCTCTGAATTTCTATCCAAATATACATTTTTGTTAAAATAAAATAAAAATGATTCCATATCTGTGTTTTCAAACTGTTAATCTCAGAATATTAATCATGGAGACGGTTCCAGGTCACACACATACCAAATCCATGTTGTTTTTATCTGTATAGAGGTGAGAGAATACAGAGGCAGGGTTCTGGCGTTGCTTGTGGTTGACCCAAGGTTCAATCCTGGCATTGCATATAGTTTCTGGAGCCCCACCTGGAATGACACCTGAATTCAGAGGCAGGTGCATCACTGGGAGTGACCCAAGAACCAAAACCCAAAAACAAAGGCATTGTAATATTTTTTCTTTTGGGGGGGGCTGACTTGGGGGGCACCATGATTTACACGAACTTTCTTTCACTGATGAACCTTTCTTGATACCTTTTACACGAACTTTCTTTCACTGATGAACCTTTCTTGATACCTTAATTCTAAATAGGAATTACTGGGTGTGGTTGATTGAATGACCTACAAAAATAAAAAATAAAACACACTATAGACTTTGGAACCCTACAATGCTTGACATGTGATTATTAATCACCAGAACTAGATTTCAAAATAGGGAGATTATCTGAATGGGGCCTAAACACAACAGACACACACCCTAATACTATAGAAAAAACCATGTTATGACATAAGCAGGAAGAAGCAGTGTCAGATCCTATTGGCTTTGAAAGGAGAGGTGAGCATGAATTTAAGGCATATGTTTTGTCTCTAAAAATTAGAAAGGGCAGATTAGAAACAATGCTCTAGAGCTTCCAGACTCAAGACGTTTGTTGACATCTTGCTTCTGAATTTCTTTTGAGGTAACCGATTTTCACAAAAATGAAGTAGCATTTTTTTGTCATTTTGATTTGCATTTCCCTCATAATAAGTCATAAGAATTATTCATGTGTCTATTGACCACCTGTATTCTTGCTGAGTTGTCAAACTCTTCCAATTTTTTATTTTTAAAAATTTATTTATTTTTTAGTTTGGGCGGTGCTCAGCACTTCCTCCTGGCTCTTCGCTCAGGGATCACTCCTGGCAGGGCTCAGGTGACCTTATGGGGTGCTGAGGACCAACCCTGGTGGGCTGCATGAATGCAAGACAAATGCCTTACCTGCTATACGATCTCTCCCACCCCTCTTCCACCCCTTTTCTTGTTTTTAAAATTTGTTATTTTCTGAGTTTTTTCTTTCTCTTTCTTTAAACTGGGGTTTGAATTTAGATATATCCCAGGCAAGGCAACCACTGTTCAGTTTTTGCGTTCTTGTGTACTTTGGGCCCTAGCCCTTTTTTGCCTCAAGTATGGCTTAAGCATACTACGTTCATAAAATTAGTGACCGAAGCTAAACAACCACAGCTGCTGCTGCTGCTGCTGCTTCTTCTTCACCTTCTCCTCCTTTTCTTTCTTCTTCCTCTTCCTCCACCTCCTTTTCCTCCTTCTTTTCTCCTCCTCCTTCATTTAAAATTTTTCGCATTCACGTGAAGTGTGTGTACTTTATATTCGCTTGTATTCTAAAGAAATACAGAATAATAAATAAAGAAATAAAAGAACTGGCAGAGGAACCCAGGTGTGTGGGACCCGGGGCTGTGATCTCCAAGCCTGCACGGTTTGGGACTGGACCTGCCAGTAACTAGACAGTTACACCCACCAACTGCCGTGTAACTACAACAACGTCCAGGATCCAGAGATTATCACACTCAGCTCCCGGGAGAGAACAAGGCAGAGTCTCCTACCCTGTGCCTGACTGTCTCCACCAGGGCCCAACAGGTGAAGACCTCCGGCGCCCAGCCAAGGCCATGCTGAGACCACTCTCCACACACTTGGATGAGCCTCACGCATAAAAGAACTGGCAGAGGAACCCAGGTGTGTGGGACCTGGGGCTGAGATCTCCAAGCCTGCATGGTTTGGGACTGGACCTGCCAGATTATCACACTCAGCTCCCAGAAACGCGCGGCCGCAAATGCGGCCGCGCGACATCTTATCATCTCATTCCTACTTTGGACAAACTGGCAGGCTACCAAATGTAACCTGCCCACACGGCAGAGTCTGGCAAACTCCCCGTGGTATACCCAATATGCCAAATACCAGTAACAATGATGGGTCTCATTCTCCTAACCCTGAAAGAGCCTTGAATATGGCACTTAAAAAAAAAATCTCAGGGCTAGAGAAGACGTTACTGGGGCCTGCTCGAGGCAATTGACGAACAACAGGGTGGTCGTGATGGAGGGGAAGTGGAGACAGTGATGGGATAGGTAGAAACGCAGGGGATTCCCGGGTGAGTTGAGTCCCCGGGTTTATTCTTGGGTTCCGTTACTTAGTATCTTTCATTATACATCGATACATAGTAACGTGTGAGGGATGCATGTTCATGTAAAATGGTGCCTATGTCAAACAATCAAATTTCATTTTCATTTCATTTCATTTCATCATCCTGTTATTCGTCGATTGCCTCGAGCAGGCCCCAGTAACGTCTCTTTCATCCTAGCCCTGAGATTATATTCAGGGCTCTTTAGGAGAATGAGACCCATCATTGTTACTGGTATTTGGCATATTTGGTAGGCCACGGGGAGTTGGCCAGACTCTGCCCTGTGGGCAGGCTACATTCGACAGCCTGCAAGTTTGTCCAAAGTACGAATAAGACAATAAGATGTCATAAAAAAAAGTTCTAGATTTTATAGTCTCTGAGTCTTGGCCGCTGATGGGATTACACGGCGCCAGGGAGCCAGGTGGTGGGTGTGACCCCCGCCTATTGGAATTTGGAGGATCTGGGTGGAAGATGCTCAACTCCATTCCGAATAGGCTTGGAGGTCTCGGCCCCAGAACCCACGTGGCTTTGTCCCTCTGCCAGTACCTTCATGTGTGCGGAGAGTGGTCTCAGCATGGTAGTGGCTGGTCCTGGAGGTCTTCGGCTGCCGGAGCCCTGGTCGGGGTGGGGAGGAAAGCTCAACCCGCTCCCCTCCAAGGGGCCCCGGGAAGGAACACCCAGGCGCGGGGGGCAGAAGACTGCACTGTTCTCGTCCGGGATCTGGATTTTATAGTCTCTGAGTCTTGGCTGCTGATGGGATTACACGGCCCCAGGGGGCCAGGTGGTGGGTATGACCCCCGCCTACTGGAATTTGGAGGATCTGGGTGGAAGATGCTCGACTCCAATCCGAGTAGGCTTGGAGGTCTCGGCCCCGGAACCCGCGTGGCTTTGTCCCTCTGCCAGTACCTTCATGTGTGTGGAGAGTGGTCTCAGCATGGTGGTGGCTGGTCCTGGAGGTCTTCGGCTGCCGGAGCCCTGGTCGGGGCCGGGAGGTCTTCTGCCCCCGCGCCTGGGTGTTCCTTCCCGGGGCCCCTTAGGGGAGCGGGTTGAGCTTTCCTCCCCGCCCCGACCAGGGCTCCGGCAGCCGAAGACCTCCAGGACCAACCACCACCATGCTGAGACCACTCTCCGCACACATGAAGGTACTGGCAGAGGGACAAAGCCACGCGGGTTCCGGGGCCGAGACCTCCAAGCCTACTCGAATTGAGTCGAGCATCTTCCACCCAGATCCTCCAAATTCCAGTAGGCGGGGGTCACACCCACCACCTGGCCCCCTGGCGCCGCGTAATCCCATCAGCGGCCAAGACTCAGAGACTATAAAATCCAGATCACGGACGAGAACAGTGCAGTCTTAAACAATCAAATATTTTAGAGAAAGTAGGAAATATGCCCTGAGACTATGGAGTTCTAAGCTTTAAACCCAGACAGAAAACGAGATTGGGAAGGGACCCGGTTTCAAGCCAACCGGGAAAGGCACGATCAGAAGATCTGACCGAGAGCCGGGTACACTGGACGCTACTTATGAAAGCAGTAAAGAACTTGTGCGTCTGAGAAATGCAAGCGCAGCTCCACCGAGCACCTCTGGGCCCCTAGCGGCCAGCAGCGGGCACTGAGGCTCAGCACCGGCGCGGGCGCCCTTTGCCCGATTCCAAAAGGGCGCGCCGGGGCACAGTTGGGGCACGGCGCATGTCCGGAAGTGACGCAAGCCCCGGGGGCGGGGGCCTCTACCCGTGGGGAGCGTTTCCGCCATTTTTGAAAACTGGGACCGTCCGGTGCTTCTCCTGGCCGCCGAGATGGCAGCGTTCGCCGTGGAACCCCAGGCACTTTCGTTAGGTGAGTTTAAAAAAAAATAAGAAAGTGGAAACTTTTTATTGTTTTTGTATCTATCTGGCCCGACCCTGCGGCCGCCGACTGTGGAAACGGACACTGCCCAGCGCCGTCTTCCAACTCCCGCGGTGCCAGTTTCGGTCGCGCGTCGCGTGTCCCAGAGGGGATCGGAGTGTGGGGGGCCGCCGCGTGGTGTCCGGGCTTGAGTTCGGGGGGTCGTCCCGGGGACCCCGCCCGCGGGCCCGACGCCAGACCCGGGAGAACCCAGCGGCGCCCGCGGGGTGGGCGGTGCCCCGGCTCCGCTCCCGTTTCCATGGAGCCCGGGTCCCGCGGCGCGTGGGGGGTGGGTGGGTGGGGGTGGGGGTGGCCGGCCGGGCGCGTGGAGGTCGCCTGAGAAGGAACCGCGGGGGCGGGGTCCTCGCGAGGGGTCCGGGACTCGGGTAATAGGGACCCAGTGCTGGGGGGGAGGTTTCCCCACTTAACCGGTCACTCTGGCGGTGGGGGTGGGGGTGGGGGGATGCTCCGCGGGGGGCGTGTGGGGCGGGTCCCGGGTGGCGATGGGCCCTGAGGGAAACGCCTGCTGGCCGCGCCTACGGGCTGTGTGTGTGTCTGCCCTCGCCCGGGAGTTTCGGGACCCCCGCGGACCCGCTGAGAAATTCAGGGCGGAAAACGGTTACCAGCCCGCGCTCGTCGAGGAGAAGACCTGGGGGAGAGCCGCATCGGGATGTATTTCCGTAGGAGTTTGAAGCCAACGCCCCCGTCCGTTTCGGGTACAGAGGGTTTTTTTTGTTTTTTTTTGTTTTTGTTTTTTTTTTGCTTGTTTGTTTCTTTTGAGAAATTGACTTGACCCGAACTATCTAATAGTATGAGAGCGCAGGCGGCCAATCTCATCGGTGCAGATAACTCCGTTGCATTTAAACATTTACGGATTTGGTCTAAGGGACCAGTGTTTCTTTTTATCTAAAAAAAAAAAAAAAAGATGAGAAAACATCCATTTCCAGTTCCAAAGTTTAAGTTTTCTCTGCGGGGAAAATCAAGCCGGGGTGCGTATTTCTTGTCATTACAAATGTGTCTATGTATTGTATTTGCTGTCAGAAATCTGACGTTGGCCGATGCTGATTTTTTTTTCAAGCCCACATCCTGAGAAGTAGCATTTTCGAGCCCCTCCCTAATGGGGTATTAAAGCTAAGAGGTTTTGGAGCCCGAGGGATTGTACAGCGGGTAGGGCGTTTGCTTTGCACGAGGCCAACCAGAGTTCGAGCCCTGGCATCCTGTATATGGTCCCCGAGCTCACCTGGAGTGATCCAAGAGGTGGTGCTAGGAGTAATCCCTGGTGTCGCTTGAAGCCAACCAACCAGACAACCTTAGAGGTATTTTCCTTGTGCAGACAACATTACTTAGTGTTTTGGGTGCAAACAGATGAGATTTAAACCTTTCATTATCATCGGTCCAAGCTTTCCCGTGAAGTGAAATGTAGCACTGAAGGTGATGTTACGATGAAAAGGCCTTTTGTGCTTGCCTCCCCTGTGCGTCTTCATAAATGCAAACAGTAGAGCACCCTTCCTTCCTTCCTTCCTTCCTTCCTTCCTTCCTTCCTTCCTTCCTTCCTTCCTTCCTTCCTTCCTTCCTTCCCCCCTCCCTCCCTTCTTCCCCTCCTTCGCTCCCTCCCTCTCGTCCTCCCTCCCTCCCTCCCTCCCTCCCTCTCTCCCTTCCTCCTTTCTCTTCTCCCCCCTCCTCTCTCCTCCCCTCTCTTCCCTTCCTACCCTCCCTCCCTTATGGTTTTTGGGTCACACCCAAAAATGGTGCGATGGTGTGATGGGGCTCAGTGCTTGCTTCTCTGCTTAGGGATCACTTCTGGCAGGGCTTGGTAGACCATATAGGGTGCAGGGTATTGAATCTGGGTCCAGTGCTTGCAAGGCAAACGCCCTACCCCCTCGCGGTACTATAGCTCTGGTTTCCCAAGTGTTTTACTTTTTTAAAAGAACAGTTGGCTTAGTGCTTGAGTTGTGGTGCTCACTGGACTTTGTACACTTTAGCTACCCACTTTTCCTTGTGTGGTTCAGGAGGACAGTGTTGCTGGGTGGCACTGCATGAGTGGTCAGTGCCATGCTTGCAGCTGACTGCAATGTGAGTCTAGCTCCCTGCCCTTTCTACATTTCTTGACATATTCCCACTGGGGTGAAGCACACTGAAGGTAGTTGATGTTGCCTGAAGTTTTTAATTTACTTATGTATTTTTATGGATTTCTAAAATTATTCAGAATATGCTTTTTCAGAATTTTGACTTGGTTGCACTGTATGTTCTTTGGAAGTAAGACTGTCATAACATGGTAATTAGCACCTTAATATAATTGTAATTATAGTCCTTTACAACTTATTGAATTCCTTCCCAGTGTTGTTCTGCCTGTTCCTCTTTTGTACACTTGTTTTATTATTAGATATCTGTTAAAGGAAAATAAGAGAAAGTGTGACTGATAGCATTAATAGCAAGAAACTTGGAGACTGGAGCAATAGCACAGCAGGTAGGGCATTTGTCTTACACACCGCCGATCCGGCTTCAATTCCCAGCATCCCATATGGTCCCCTGAGCACTGCCAGGGGTAATTGCTGAGTGCAGAGCCAGGAGTAACCTCTGTGCATCACCGGGTGTGACCCAAAAAGAAAAGAAAAATAGCAAGAAACTTGTGGACAGCATTTGGATTGCAAGAAAGAAAATTCTCCATTTTCACAATATGATTAATAATAGCCAGTAACATTAACTATTATAAAAGCTTACTATAGCTAATAATTTAGTTAACAATATAAGTCAGTATGAGCTATTAGTAGTTAATACTTAATGGCTAATAGTTTTTACTTTTATTAGATACTTTTAGAATTATAGTAAACCGTTTTCCAAATTTCACTATTTTTTTCATGAGATACTATTAGAATAATAATGTTAATTTTTGCTGAATGCTTACCATATTAAGCACTGTATCAAGTTCTAATCAAAACTATGATTATGCTCATTTACTTTGACTTGAACCTAGATCTCTGACTTCAGAACCTTGTCTTCATCCTGTGAATTATCTTGAAATTCAAGTTATAGTCTCCAGCCTTGAATAAAAGTAATCCTGCTTTGTAATTTGTGAAGATTAATTTTGAAATGTTAGCGTAATGTCAGTTTTCTTTTTAATTGGTTTTATTGGAGATCTTTTCTAATTTAAAAATGAATGCGTTTTAAAAATGATTCAGGCATTCATTTTAACAATTTCAGAATTTTCAAGATTGTTTCATTACTTCTCAGAATGCCAAGAATTCATTACTTCTCTGCTTCCTTTTATTTATTTTTGTTTCGGGGTCATACCTGGCAGTATATGACTTTGTCCAGGGATCACTCAGGAGGGGGTCAGGTAACCATACTGGGTGCAGGGGCCTGGGAACCTGGAGTTGGCCTACTGCAAGTCAAATTCCCTACCTGCTGTACCATTTCTCAGGCCCCTCTGCTACATGTTACTTGCTTCCTAAGTCCTTTTGTATGTGTTCAGACTTTTTATCTCCCTCTCCCTTGCATAATTTGAAGCGTTTGTATTTGAGGAACGAAAGAATGACTTACAATGAGGTAAAATACTTGTGTTTGACTTTTTTCGTGCTTGGTATAAATAATGAGTACTTTTTTTGTCTTTATGCTTTTGATACAAAATGGAAATGCAAAGAAACTTTTCGTTTTGTATTAGGGATTATCTTAGAGCTCGTAAACTAAAATTTAAGAATTTACAACTGTTCGTTCTTAAGCTAGTAAAACAAGGTAAAAATACAATATCAAAGATTAATATTGCTAAATGCAAGATGTTTTTACTTTTTATAGAAATGTTTTTTGATTTATTAAGCATCACTAATTCTAAAATGCTTTAATTCTCAACATTTTTATGCTATAGTTTTGCATTTTTTGTTTTTAGATACTAATACCAATATTTTCCTCCCTTACTCTCCTCTCCTTTAGGATCCGAACCAATGATGCTGGGCTCCCCCACATCTCCAAAGTCAGGAGTCAATGCTCAGTTCTTGCCTGGATTTTTAATGGGGGATTTGCCAGCGCCAGTGACTCCGCAGCCTCGATCAATTAGTGGTCCTTCAGTTGGAGTAGTGGAAATGAGATCACCTTTGCTTGCAGGTGGGTAAATTGCTTTTAGTAGGTCCATAGTAATATCAGTGCTTGTATTAGAATATTAGATAGCTTAATAATGAAGCATCTCATTATTAATGTGCTACTCTTATCAGCAGAGTTGTTAAATAAGCGTTTCCTCTACTTTTCATTTTAAGATGTGGAGAAGATCATGAGCTGTTAGAATTCCAAACACCCACTCATTAAAACTGCATCCCGAGAGAGAACAAAGGGGAATGCCCTGCCACAGAGGCAGGGTGGGAGGGGGGGTGGGGGGAAATGGGCACTGGTGGAGGGATGGGTATTTGATCATTGTATGACCGAAACTCAGGCATAAGGATTTGTAAATCTACAACTGTACCTCATGGTGCTTCACTAATAAAAAAAAAAAAACAACTGCATCCCATTTACTCAGATGCCATTGATAGTAAATCTTGAGGCATTATTATTTGTTTGTTTGGGGATCACACCTAGCTATGATTACTTCTACCTTTCAACTCAGAATCACTTCTGGTGGGCTCTGGGACCATCGGGTATAAAACCCAGGCCATGTACAAGTATCATTTACTCTCTCTCCAGCTGGTTTATTTATTTAATAAATTCAATTTTAAAAAATTTCAATTATATTTTCATAAAGTTGTTCACAATAATTGATTACATTCAAAATTTCAACACCAATCCCACCACCATTACACCTTCCCACCACCATTATTTTGAATTTTCCCATCATCACTCAAGCCTGTGATGCTAAAAGCCTACAGGCAGATGCTAAATAAGTTATTTTGTATTACTTATTACGAATAGTATGAGAAACCACGTGCTCCTGGAATTCTAAAATTTTAATTGGGGTCCGGAGGCCTCTCTGCAGCATGCTGCTCTCTTCTGACATTCATTTGTGAGTCTTGCATCATCTGGTTTAAAGTAGTTCATTTATTTATGATTTAGGGGCCACACCTCTCTGCTCAGGGTTTATTCCTGGCTCTGTACTCAGGAATGACCTCTGGCCTTTCTCAGAGGACCATGTGCAATGTCAGGGATTATATGCAAGACTTAACCTCCTGTACTGTCTCCTTCCCTCTTATTTTTTAAATTTTGGTATCGATCAGTAAGAGTTACCATGTATTATATTTGAAATCACCATGATTCTGAACATATTTAATTTTTTTATTTACTTTTCTTTTTTTGTAACATAAGCCACACTTAATAGTGCTTATTATTAGGAACTACAGGAACATGAGCTGTACTCAGTGATGCTGGATGTAATGGTGGGAATAAGTTGCTGGGACCTAACTTAGCTTGACATGTGTTAGGCATGTGCTCTACCACTTGAGCCGTATCTCTGGCTCTGGAAATACATAAATACATATGTATATATGTGTGTGTGTGTGTGTGTGTATTATACACATCATATGTACACACACAACATATATATTTATTTTTAATTTTTTTTACATTTTATTTATTTTTTTTGGCCATACCCAGTGCTGTTCAGGGCTTCTGGCTCAACACCCAGGGAATCCTCCTGATAGGCTTAGGGAACCATACGGAATGCCAGGGATTGAACCTTTTATGTATTTAATTTATTTTCACTTGTTTTTCTTTCTCAGTATGGGGCCTATTCTGGAGATTGTTCATACATAGTTATCAAAGAAGTGCTGTGTGTGTGTGTGTGTGTGTGTGTGTGTGTGTGTGTAAAGCTCAGCCCTCTCAATTTATTTAAAATTGTTTTCCTTTAAGTTTTCAGTTAGACTGATCTGTCCAGTGGTGGGAGTGAGGTGTTAGTCTGCTTTTAGCTATGTTGCTGTTGATGTCTCTTTTTAGACCTATTAGTTGCTTTATATGTTTTGATGTTACTTTATTTGGAGCATATATCTAGGAGTGTGATTTCTTCTGCTGCGCATCACGATCATGATCACGACCATCCTGTTGTTCGTCGATTGCCTCGAGCAGGCCCCAGTAACGTCTCCTTTGTCCTAGCCCTGAGATTTTAAAAAGTGCCATATTCAAGGCTGTTTCAGGGTTAGGAGAATGAGACCCATCATTGTTACTGGTATTTGGCATATTGGGTACGCCACGGGGAGTTTGCCAGACTCTGCCGTGTGGGAAGGTTACATTCGGTAGCCTGCCAGGTTGTCCAAAGAAAGAATGAGATAGTAACATTTCTTCTGGGAGCTGGGATTTATAGTCTCTGGGTCTTGGCCATTGATGGGATTACACGGTGCTAGGGGGCCAGTTGGCGGGTGTGACCCCGGCTACTGTTCCTCTGCCGGTACCTTCATGTGTGTGGAGAGTGGTCTCAGCATGGTTGTGGCTGGTTCTGAGGTCTTCAGCTGCCGGAGCTCTGCTCAGGTCGGGGAGGGAAACTCAACCCGCCCCCCTCCAAGGGGCCCCAGGGAGGACAGCCAGGCACGGGGGCAGAAGACCGCGCTGTTTTCTTCCGGGAGCTGGGTTTTATAGTCTCTGGGTCTTCGCCATTGATGAGATTACACGGCGCAGGGGGCCAGAACCAGCCACAACCATGCTGAGACCACTCTCCACACGCGTGAAGGTACCGGCAGAGGAACAAAGGCATGCGGGTCCCGGGGTTGAGGTCTCCAAGCCTGCTCGGATCGGGGCTGAGCATCCTCTACCCAGATCCTCCATCTTCCAGTAGGCCAGGGTCACACTGCTGTGCATATCCCTTGATTATTAAAAAATGGCCTTAGCTATCCCTTCTAATCTTTTTCAGCCTGAAATCTATGTTGTCAGGTACTAGTATGGCCACCCCGGCTTTTTTTGTTTGTTTTTTGCTTTTTGGGTCACACCTGGTGATGCACAGGGGTTACTCCTGGCTCTTCACTCAGGAATTACTCCTGGCAGTGTTCAGGGGACCCTATGGGATGCTGGGAATTGAACTCAGGTCGGCTGCGTGCAAGGCAAGCGCCCTGCTCCCTGTACTATCGCTCCAGCCCCCACCCCGGCTTTTTTGAGGGAGCTGTTTGCTTGCAGAATTGTTTTCCATCCTTTGACTTTGAGTCTGTTTTTGCTCTGATTGTTCACATGTGTTTCTTGTAGACAGCAGAATAGAGGGTTCAGTTTTTGAATCCATTTTGCCACTCTGTGTCTCTTAATCGGTACATTTAGACTATAGACATTGAGAGAGATTATTGTCATGGGGTTTTGTGCCATCTTTCTGTAGAGGTTTGTTGTACTTCTAGGGGTTTTTCTTATTTATTTATTTATTTATTTATGCTTTTTGGGTCACACCCAGCAGTGCACAGGGTTACTCCTGCCTCTGCACTCAGGAATTACTCCTGGCGGTGCTCAGGGAACCATATGGGATGCTGGGAATCGAACCCGGGTCGGCTGCATGCAAGGCAAACACCTTACCCTTGTGCTGTCACTCCAGCCCCTGTAGGGGTTTTTCATGTCTTACAGGAGCCCCTTTAGTCCTTCTTTTAAGGTTGGTTTTGAGTCTATGAAGTTCCTGAGCTGTTGTTTATCCATGAAATAGTGTATCGTTCCTTCGAGTTTGAGAGTTTAGCCTGGTAAGTATTCTTGGTGAGACGTTCATTTCGGTGAGTTTTTTTCACTATATCCAACCATTGTCTTTGGGTGTGGAAGGTTTCCTCTGATAAGTCTGCTGTAAATCGAAGGGGTGCTCCTTTGTATGTGATTTCCTTCTTTGACTTGCAGCTTGACTAGCAACTTGGAGTATTGCGTCTCTATTCGTGGTGTCCGTCATTCTGATTATGATCTATCTTGGAGTCTCTTTTAGCTGGTACCTACCTTCAGGCTCCTTGGATCTGGATGCCTGCATTCTCCAGCTCTGGAACTTCCCAGCAATGATATCTTTCACTGTTGCTTTTTCATTCTGGTTGCTTCCCTGTCCTTCTGGTACTCCAATAATTCTTATATTGTATCTCTTGAGTTCATCCCCTAGGTCTCTGTCACACCCTAGAGATATTTTGAGGTCTTTTCCCATTGTATGTTGTTGCCTGCTTTCTGTAGTTCATCTTCAAGCTCGTGGATTCAGTCTTCGGTTGTAGTCATTCTACTTTTGAGGGCACCCACTGAGTTTTTTATTCCATCTACCGAATCCTTTATCAGCGACACTTTCTTTGTAGCTTTCTTATTTCTTCTCTCATTTCTTCCTGTAGGGCTAGAGCGATAGCACAGCGGTAGGGCGTTCGCCTTACAAGCGGCCAACATGGCCGACCCGAGTTCGATTCCTCCGCCCCTCTCGGAGAGCCCGGCAAGCTACCGAGAGTATTCGATATGCCAGACACAGTAACAACAAAGTCTCCAATGGAGACGTTACTGGGCCCGCTCGAGCAAATCGATGAACAACGGGAGGACCGTGACCGTGATTTCTTCCTGTATTTTTTTTGCTGTCTGTCCCACTGTTTCTTTCATGTCCTCCTTTAATTTACTGGATGTCTGCTCCATTGTTTCTTTGAGTTCATTGATCATCCTCAGCATTTCATCTCTGAATTTTTTATCGGAGAGATCGTATTTGTGGGTGATCCCTGTTGAGGCTTCTGGACTCTTCATCCACTCCTCGTGGTGGGGGTTTGCACTGTTCCTTCATGCTGTTGTGGTAGTATGGAGTTCACTATCAGTGTACCCCTCTCGCTGTGAGAAAGAATTCTGGATGAGCTCGGTGGATGGTGGTCACTTTTTTCCTTTTCTAGAAAACTACCTTCCTCTTTGGTGCTCCTCGGTGACTTAGGTGAGGCCTCTACTGAAGCTTCGGATGTTGTGCTCTTTTATATTAGGCTTGTTCAGTTTCTTGAGTTCACCGTTACTTTGGTGAGATTGGCGTAAGCCACTGGACTATTGGCCTAATGTGGTTGGGATAGCCGGAATGTTCTCCTCAGAATTAGGTAACGGAGATTGAGATGTGAGTCCAGAGCACTGGGAAGGGGGAAAGGGGGAAAATAACTGCAGCCACCTGAGCGGCAGCTGCCCCGGAGGCCACACCCCCTCCTGCACGGTACCTGTGAGGGAGTTGGATACATCCGTGCCCAAGCAGAATTAAAATTTCACTTCCGATGCAGTCCTAATGCTTGCCAGGGAACCCCTCTGGGCCCGGTGCTGGGGGCGGGCACCTTGGCGGGGGTGGGGTGAGGAGGGGGTTCTTGCAGTTCCCTGGGTCTGGGCATGTGGCCCCCGTCTCCAGTGCATGTATGTCTATGAGTATCTCTGTCCTTTTCTGTTTTAGCCTTTGTTTGGAATTCGTTTTGTTTGATGCCAGTTTGACCGTCCCTGCCTTTTCTGTGTGGCCATTTGCCTCTTTGTTTTTCAGCCTTTTACTTTTTTCGCAGGGGTAGGGGAGGGATGGTTTGAGTCATACCTGACAGTGCCCAGGGATTATTCTTGGGGACCATATGCAGTTCCAGGGATCCAGCTGGGGTCAGCCGAAGTAGCTATGTGCAAGGCAAGTGCCTGAGCTCCTGTACTATCTCTCTGGACCTCAGCCCTTTACTTTGTGCAGTTTCTAATCACTGAAATTTAAGTGGGTCTTAAGCAGCAGAAGATTGGATTTTGTTTTCTGATGTTTAGATCAGGGTTTCTCAAATGTGACTATATAGCTCCCTGCAACCCCCAAGGGTTCCCAGGATATTCTAAGGGGATCACAGGTCAAAAAAGAGAAAACTTGTATGTGATGCCACAGCATAAGACTAGGGGAGTCAGTCTGATTGGAGGGGGCTTTAGGCCACACCTGGCATTGTTCAGGGCTTATTCTGGCTCTGTCCATACTCTGAAATAGCACCTGGTGGTGTTTGGAAGACCGTATGGGATGTCCAGTATTGAAGCCGAGTCAGCTGCCAGCTGTACTGTCTCTCTACACTCCCATCCCCACTCCCCCAATACTTTTAAATGTACTCAGTGTAGTATAAGGTGCTGGGTATAATGGGATTAAGATAGTGTCCTTTGAGGATCTTGCAGTCTTAGAAAACAGTTAAGTAAATTGAGACACTGAGAGGGAAATGACTTATCCAATGAGCCAAATACTTTGAAATGTGGAGCTGAAAAGAGAGCAGGGCATAATTAACGTATTATAAATAAACCATATTGGAAAGAATGCTTCATAAGACAGATAATACAGAATCTCTTGCAAAAAGGTTAAAAACAATCTTTAATTTTCACCATGACTGAATTCCATGTCTTGAAATAAAGGAAGTCATTACCTGAGGCCTTTTTTTTTTTTAAATATTTGGTCCTAGAGTCTTGAGGCATGCCAACCTCTTCGAACAAAATAACTCTGTAAGAAGCACTTAGAATAATTCTGATATATCTGTTTTAGATCCATGAAAATTTAAGTATATGGTATATCTGTAATACTTCTACATTAGGAATTTGACCAAAAAAACAACTTTAACCTGTATGTAGGGTATTTTAGTAAATTATAGATGCTAAAGAAATGGGTCAGTCATTTTCCATATTTATTGGCTCTACAGTGGTAAAATTTTACTTACGTACCCCTTATGTAATATAAACATTTTACAGATATACACAAAGACATCACATAAATTTTTAAAATTTTCAACTTTTTTCCTGAAAACATAACCAATTCCCTGCCCCCCCTTTTATCGAATCATTTCAAGATACACAGTTACAAAGGTTTAAAGATTTGAATTTCAGTCAATTTTCCAACACCTATCTCTCTACCAGTGTGCATTTTCTACCACTAATGTCCCCGTTCACTCCTTTTAGGCATCAGTAGGTCCCTTGGTGATTCCCCATCATTGTAGGTGAACCTCCCCATTTCTTTGAAGACTGGTATTGAGGTCCATGTTAGAGTCACAAATTCCAGAAACTGACTATGGCTAAAAGTTTGTGTGGTGGGAATGACCACTGGGGATTTGTGATCTCAAGTGCCCTGTGATATCTAGCATCATGGTTGTATGAGTCTGTACTGCAAACCAATTTCTGGTGCCTGGGTCTGATTATGTTGTCTGAGTCTGAGTCTTGCTGGCCTGTATTTGGTTCTATTTGGATCTGTGTTTGGCCAGACTTAAGCAAGTGTTGTTCATTTTTCAGATAACTCAGCTATTTGGTTGGGGTGAGTGGAGCTCAAATTAGGAATTGGTCCTCAGATTGTTTTTAATGAGATCAAAATGAAGTCTTCCAGCAAGATTGCAGGAGACTATGGAGATGATTCCTGCTTTTGATTATGACTCTTACATATATCTATAGTCTCTTGCCTCTTATTCTAGTGTTGTGATTGTTGGATTGGGGAGTTTAGTGTTTTGGATAACTTGCCTGTTTTCCAGGCCAGAGTTCAGTTTAGCATCTCTTCCTGAACCTGTTACTACACCACTTGTTTCAAAGCCCTCTATTACTCAGGGCACTGCTTTTTTTTAATCTTGGGTTTCATTTCTGACTGCAACTTCTTATGCCATTCTTGGATTCCTATTTGGTGAGGACATCCCTTGAAAATTTTCTTGTAGACTTTATTATAGATTGTGACATTATTGCAGGAGAATGCTGAAACAGTTCCATTATCAGGTGCTTTAAGCGCTGCTTCCATCTGTAGGAACTTTTTTTTTTTCTAACTTGCTTTTTTTTAAAATAGGCTGGCAGAAGTGAATTGGAGGAGCCAACACACTATCATTTGTACCTGACTAAAGATGCAGTTATTTTATTCTATTCTGGGTATTTCCATGAAGTGGGCTATTTGTGTTTACTTTTTTCTGGAGAGGAATGAAGGATATACTTTGTGAGCAGTAGATTCTTCTTGTTACTGATACACAAATTTCTAGCCATTTTTAATTGGATTATGTTAATTTGAATGTATCCAGTTAGGGATTTGTAGTATTTTCTCCTACTTTATGTTGCCCTTCATTTCTGATGGTTTTTCCTTACAGAAGGATTTTGGTTTGATATCCCACTTTGTTTTTGTGGTCTTTGTTTCTGGTACTAGCATGTATTCTGTAGCAACTAATAAAATTTATATTCTGGAGTCTAACAAAGTGTCTTTTATGGATCCACCAGCGTTCGCATTACCTGGAGCTTTGTCAGAAAAACCATTATCTGGTACTGGAGACAGTCTTGCCTGTGTCTAACCCAGGTTCAATTGCCAAAGCCACATATGGTTACCCTGGCAGTGATCCCTTAATGCAGAGTCAGGAGTAAGTCCTGAGCACCACTGGGTATGGCCCAAAAGACAAGAAAAGAAATGGAAAAATAAAGAAAAAAAAATTTGTAATGTAAAGCTCATTCCCACATGTTTTGCATCCAAATTTGAATTCTGACATGATCCCCAGATAGAAGTTTGAGAGGCACTAGGTGGTAAGATTTTTAAACCAAGGCTTTATATAAATGAAAAATGATGTTAAGAGAAAGATAGAAAATGTCTTTGTTTTAAAAAATACCTAGTTGAACCGGAGTGATATGGTGTGAAAAAATTTGGCTGCCTTGCATGCAGCTGATGTGGGTTTGATCACCAGCATCCCATAAGCACTACCAGGAGTGATTTCTGAGCATTGCCAGGTGTGGCCCAAAAACTAGAAAAAAAAATAAAGATATACCCAACCTTTTTTTTTTTTTTTAATATATTGTAGGTGGATCACCGCCACAACCTGTTGTACCAGCTCATAAGGATAAAAGTGGAGCTCCACCAGTCAGAAGTATATATGATGACATTTCCAGCCCAGGACTTGGATCAACACCTTTAACTTCAAGAAGACAGGTGATCTGTGTACTGTTACCATAGTTTTATCACCATACAATGGAAATTAATACTTTCTTTGGGTGGGGGTCATTCTAGGAGTTGCTCCTGGTAGTGCTCTGGAGAACATGTGGTGCCTGGGATCACACCCAGGCTTCCTGAATACAAAGCATGTGTCATTGGGCTGTCTCTCTGACCCAGGAGGTCAATAGTTTAAGATGTTTCCGTAAGTTTAATGTATCTGTGTTGCATACAGGACGTTTACTAAAGAATATCACCGTCACGACCATCCTGTTGTTCGTCGATTGCCTCGAGCAGGCTCCAGTAAGTCTCCTTCGTCCTAGCCCTGAGATTTTTAAAAAAGTGCCATATTCAAGGCTCATTCAGGGTTAGGAGAATGAGATCTATCATTGTTACTGGTATTTGGCATATTGGGTACACCATGGGGAGTTTGCCAGACTCTACCGTGTATAGAATATACTGAAATTATATTTATTATGAAATGTTAAAAAATGTACTGAAATTCCAGAACTTTTTGAAAAATTGGTTTGGTAATGTGGTTACAGTAATGTTTAATTTACGAGGCCAGAGCCATGGTACAGTGGGTAGGGCATTGCTTTGCCTGCTGCCTACCCAGGTTTGATCCCCACATCCCATAGGATATTCCAAGCACGAGTTTCTGAGTGCAGAGCCCGGAGTAACCCCTGAGCATCTCCAATGTCGCTCCTAAATCTCCCCCACAAAAAACCCTGATAGTGTCTAATTTTATGCTATTGGCGTACAAATTGCCCTACACCAGCAGCAACAGAGTGTCCATAACCCTCCCTTCTGCCTCCTTCCTATCCCGTTCCTTTGTCACCTTTGCTACAGTCTATCTCCACTCCTTGCCACCCCGCTCAGGTGTTGGTTGTTGGTTATGATTTTGGTTCATGCTGAGGTTTACCTCATTTAGTCACCACCTATGTGCTCCAGTAACTGAGGATTCTTTTCTTTAACCTCCCCATCCCCCCCCCCCCCACACACACATTTTTGTTTGTTTTGTTTTAAATCCAGTTAGCAGTGCTCAGGGCTTAGGGAGTCATTCCTGGCAGGGTTTGGGAGCTTATATGGGTGCTAGAGATCAAATCTGGCCCTGAAGATTTTTTAAAAAGAAGCTTAATAGTATTTATGATCACTAATGGTCTTAATTACTTTGTTGCTGGGTAGGCTGTATAATAAAAAAAAGTACAGTACTGAAGTGTTAAGTTTCTTATGTAAAGACTTATTTTTTTTCCCCTCCTTCAGCAAATGTAAGGCGAACGCCCTACCGCTGTGCTATCGCGACTGGAGCGATAGCACAGCGGGTAGGGCGTTCGCCTTACATGCAGCCAACATGGCCGACCCGAGTTCGATTCCTCCGCCCCTCTTGGAGAGCCTGGCAAGCTACCGAGAGTATTCGATATGCCAGACACAGTAACAACAAAGTCTCCAGTGGAGACGTTACTGGGCCCGCTCGAGCAAATCGACGATCAACGGGAGGGCCTTTACCTTTTTACCTTACCAGCAAATGTAATTTGTGCTGCTACTATAGCACATTTCAATTGTTTGAGTTTGTGTGTATGTGTGTGTGTGTGTGTTTTGTTTTAGGTTCACACCCAGTAGTGCTCAGGGCTTACCCTTGTTTCTTTAGCCAGGGACTGCTCTGGCAGGGCTTGCGGGAATATATATGATGCCAGGGGTCAAACTTGTGTTGGCTGTTCAAGGCAAGCACCCTCCTGGCTGTACTATTGTTCTGCCCCCTGAAGAAATGTTTTATGCCTTTCCGCATATAAAATTTGGCATTGTTGGAAAACTTTAAAGCATTAGAAACCATCTTTCAGTCAAATTTAATCATGGCATGTGGTTCTGATGTCTTTGGCTGCTCCTCTTACTGTCTATTTTATGGAGAACTAGCAATCCCAATTTCCCTGCTTTGTAACTTTCTACTGGTAAAGGTTTGGTGTCTTTATAATCTTATCTGAAGTAACAGTATTATATGTATATATAAATATATATGGGCTGGAGCGATAGCACAGCGGGTAGGGCGTTTGCCTTGCACGCAGCCAACATGGCCGACCCGAGTTCAATTCCTCCGCCCCTCTTGGAGAGCCCGGCAAGCTACCGAGAGTATCTCGCCCGCACGGCAGAGCCTGGCAAGCTCCCTGTGACGTATTCGATATGCCAGACACAGTAACAACAAAGTCTCCAATGGAGACGTTACTGGGCCCGCTCGAGCAAGTCGATGAACAACGGGAGGACGGTATGATAGTGACAGTAACTAAATATATGTGTGCATATCTATTTAAAAACAGAACCGTGAGTCCAGAGAAATAATACAATGTTAAAAAACTTGCCTTGTATGCTGTCAACCCTGGTTCAGTTCTCTGCATCATATTTGATCCAGTCCTTAAGTACATGTCAGGGCTAAGCCCTGATCATGCCTGATATGGCCTACTCAGAAGCAGACCAGAGAAGAATAGGTGTTTCTCTTTTACTGTGGGAACTTAGTGATTTAAGTGACTGATACCTGTTCAGATGTTGTGCCTTAGAAACTAATAACAAAAAGTGACGTTGCTTTATTAAAAGTAATGTCTCTTTACCCAATGTAACTTTATTTTCAGTAAACTGTGCTGAAAGCATCTGACGTTTTATTTTATACTGTTCAACTGAAGTAAAAAGAAAGCATTCTTTTGTGATCTAATTAAGTACATTTCTAGTTGTTGTCTGTTGAATGATGCCTTTGAACTTTCATTGTGTTTATGTTATACATAAGTCAGAAATTTGCATTTTTACCTTAATAGTTTCTTCTGTGTTCATGTAGGCAAACATTTCGGTAATGCAGAGTCCTCTTGTTGGAGTTACGACAACTACTCCTGGCACGGGTAAGTAATTCCATTAACACATGATTATTTCTTTACCCTTGAAGTAAAGGCAATATATGATCTTTGCCAAAAGTGTGTGTTGGTTTTTTTCTTTCAAACTTGGATATATTCTCAATATCAGTAACTTCATTAATTTTTAGATATGGTATATTATTCTACCTAAAGTATTAAAAATTTTAGGAAAAAAATGTATTTTAACAGTGTCTTCTGAATTATTAAAAACCAGAAATGCCTTAATTGGGAACCAAAGGAATATGGAGACTGAAAGATAAAGGTGTTTTGTGAGATATTAATGCATAGGTATAAATTCATCTGTTGCCTTAGATGGCCATACTCACTTGGCCATTCTCCCAGCTAAAATTCTTAATATTCTAGGATACTCTCGGTAGCTTGCTGGGCTCTCCGAGAGGGGTGGAGGAATCGGACCCGGGTCAGCTGGGTTGGCCTCATGCAAGGCAAACGCCCTACCCTCTGTGCTATTGCTCCAGCCCATATTTGACTGAATGCAGTGATATTTTGAATCTGTAAAATATTAGTGGCATTTAAAAATTTTTATTATTATTATTATTTTGGTCATACCCAGGGATGCTAAGGGTTCCTCCTGGCTCTGCACTCAGGAATTACTCCTAGTGCTCAGGGGGCCATATGGGGCGCAGGGGATAGAACCTAGTTTGGCTGTGTGTAAGCAAATGCCCTTACGGCTGTACCATTGCTCCAGCCCCTTCAATTAAATTCCTTTTGTTTATTGGTCCGTTCCCAGTGGTGCTCAAGGCTTATTCGTGGATCTCCGTTCCAGAATCACTCCTGATGGGCTTGGGGAACCGTATCGGATACTGAGTATTGAACCTGGGTTGCAGCATGTAAGGCAGATGCCCTGCTTGCTCTTTTATCTCTCTGGCCCCACTCATGATATTCTTAAAATTACCATCAGTTTTATTGACATATCTCTTATATTGTCAAATATTTTTATTTGTTCCTGAGAGGGGTGTGGTTTGGGGCAGTTCTTGCTTTGCCCAGGGCTTAAACTCCTGGCTCTATCCTGAGGGCCACATGCAGTGCTAGGGATCAAACTGAAGTTGCCTTTGTATAAGACAAAATCCTTTTGACCCCTCTGGCCTCAAATCATAGGTTTCACTATATTAAATATCCCTTTAGTAAATATCTGAATACTTGATCTTATGCCAAGTCCTGGGAAACTAAACGAAGTAGGTGTATTTTGCCTTGATAGCACTTAAATTTATTAAAAGAATCAAATTTTACGTGTGGTCCCGAGTCCCACCAGGAGTGATCCCTAAGCACAGAGCCCAGGTAAACCCTGAGCGCTGCTGGGAGTGGCACCAGAAGTAAACAAAAAAAGGAGAACTTTCTGGTCCCTCAACTCTTCTCTTTTGTTTTTTATAATGTAGGGCTGGAGCCTAGCACAGCGGGTAGGATGTTTGCCTTGCATGCTCCTAACTCGGGTTCGATTTCTCCGTCCCTCTCGGAGAGCCTGTCAAGCTACCGAGAGTATCCTGCCCGCCTGGCAAAGCCTGGCAAGCTCCCCGTGACGTATTCGATATGCCAGATACAGTAACAAGTCTCACAATGGAGATGTTACTGGTGCCTGCTTGCGCAAATTCTTGAACAATGGGAGGACGGTGCTGTTTTTGCTTTTTGGATCACACCCGGCAATGCATAGGGGTTACTCCTGGCTCTGCACTCAGGAATTACGCCTGGCGGTCCTCAGGGGATCATATGGGATGCTGGGAATCTAACCTGGGTCAGCCAGTGTGCAAGACCAACGCCCTACCTGCTGTGTTATCACTCCATTCCCCGGAGTTTTAGTTTTATTTAGTTTTAAATCGGATAGTGAATAGTTTTTTTATTTGTTTGTTTTTGGGCCACACCTGGTGATACCCAGAGGTTGCTCCTGCTCTGAGCTCAAGAATTATTCCTGGCAGTAAATGGGGAACTATATGGTGTGCCAAGGAAAAGCTGGCTTGACCACATGCAAGACAAGCCTCCTACCCACTGTATTATCTTTCTGGCTCCTGATTAGTTTTTATTGCTAAAAACTGTACTAGTTTTTTTACTATTTTTTTAGTTATGTTTTTATTGTTAAAAAAAAAACATGACAATGACTGCAGACCTGTCTATTACAGTAGCTGCACAGTTTATAGTTTGGAGATGAGAAGTCAGCAATAGATCTTAGCTAAATGGAAGCTTTGGCCTTCCTTCTTCTTTTTTTTATTTTTTTTAAATTTTTTTATTTGGCTATTTGGGTCACACCCGGTGATGCACAGGGGTTATTCTGGCTCTGCACTTGGGCATTACCGCTGGCAGTGCTCAGGGGACCTTATGAGATGCTGGGAATAAACCCGTGTCTGCAGCGTGTAAGGCAAATACACTACCTGCTCTGTTTTTGCTCCAGCCCCAATAAGCCTTCCTTCTTCATGTAAGTAGACTCCTGACCAGAATTAGTCTTTCTAAGACTGCCCACATTTTTTTTTTTTTTTGCTCTGGTTTCCTTCCTCAATCTTCTACACTGATACTTAGTAACTTTGCATCTCCCTAAGCTTTTTTTTTTTTTGTTAGTTTGTTTTTTCTTTTGTTTTTGGGTGGCACTCAGTAATGTTCAGGGATTACTCCTGGCTCTGTAGGTGTTTGGGGAACCATACAGGATGCCAGAGATCAAACCCAGGTCATCCAGGTGCAAGGCGAATGCCTTACCCTCTGTACTATTTCTCTGGCCCCTTCCTAATCATTCTTATAATAGTTTCTCTCCATTCCTATATTTTTGGGGCTTAGTGGGGCTTTGGTAGGCAGGATAAATGGTACTGGGTATAATATCTATGTCCTTGTACAAATGTAGCATTGAGCCATGTTCCTGGACCTTCTCCTTCTATTATGTTGGGCCGTTCTGAATAATTGTGGATAATCTGTTTTTAGGCCAAGATGACTTATATTTCCATTTCTGTCTGCAAATTTAGATATTTCTTTTTCCTAGAATAGACCATGGGCATCTTTTGGAGGCTGTTATTCTACTTACTATAGAGAATTAGAGGAAAGATAGTGATTACTGAAAATCCTGAACTTAAGTAAAGAGTGGTAATAAGTATTTCAGGCAGGGAAAGTAGCAAGTACATTGACCTGCTTTGGGAATGCCTCTGGGAAGTTTGATTCAGCTTACTGAGGCAAGTGTGGAATGATACGAAGTGAGGGAAAAAACATGGGAAATAAGGTCAGAGGTTACTCAGGTTCACATAAGTCACTGTACTAAATGGTGTTTACCAAATAAGGTGGCAGACAAATAGAAGGCCACTGCCGTGTGGTAAGAATTAGACTTTGGGGAAAAAACGCCAAGGGTGGAATCAGATTTACTGCATTAATCCATGTAAGAGATAATGGTGTTTAGGTATGACAGAAGATGGGAAAGGAGGAAAAGAACACACACACACACACACACACACACACTCTGTGCAGAAGAAATAATTCTGAAACATTTTATTTAAAACTAGCCAAATCACCAGCTGTAGGAACAAAATGTACTAAACACTTCAGTTAAAAGTTTGAGAATCTTAGAATAGTTAACAAAAGCAATGGTCATGACATGTCACTGTTTATACCCCAAGTGTCCATTTTTTTTTTTTGGTGAAGTAAAATAGTTTCATTTAGGAAAATGAAAGAAGAAAGAAAGAACACATTAAAAGTATGAAGCGGGTGGCAAGAGAATGTCAAATCTAGATTTCTTCAACAATGCTAGTCCTTATTAGCAGTGCCCTTAAAGTCTAGATTTCTACTATCAGTTTTCAAAACCTGTTTTGGATCTTTTTGTCATGTTCCCCACATTTTTTCCAGTCTTTAAACCCTGCCTCGTTCCAAAATTATTTCTACACTTCTTTAGCTTTATATTTGTTATAGTAATACCCCACTTGTACCTAAATCTGGTTGGTTTATATGACACCAAAGTGCACTATTACAAACTTAATGACATAAAACATAACAAGTATTTATGTCACAGATTAGTTTGGGTGTTTGGGAACAGTTTTGTTCTTTGAGAGCTCTGATGTCAGTCACAGGACTGTTTTTGAAACTTACGATCAGTTGGCCTCAAAGCTCATGTAGATTATTAACTGAATTCAGTTCTGTGTGATTCTAAGACTAAGATCCCTATTTCTTCGTTGAGTTCATCTAGAGGGTATCATAGTTTTTAGTGACTTACCCTGTTCTTTGACACAAGTCCCCTGCCATCTATAAAGGCATCAGTTGTGGTTCAAGTCTTCTATGTTTTCAATCTCTCTCACCTTCCTCTTTTTTCCCTCTCTTACTTGATTATTTATTCTATCTGTTGCATTAAGTCCACTGGAATAATCCAAAGTAGGTGATTCCTTATTTTATTAGGTCTTTTTTTTTTTTTTTGGTTACATCTCACTATGATTGGGTATTCATCCTTGGAGGTTGAGGGCCACTGATGCTATGATTGAACTGGGGTCAGTCACATGAAAGTAAAAGCCTTAACCCTATATTGTCTCTCTAGCCCTACTTGCCTTAATTCCTTACTTTAGATCAACAGATAGGATAATAAAGGTATTATTTTTATTGTTTAAATAAAGATAACAGTTCTATCTGCAAAGTCTTTCCTCAACTATACCCAGGTTAATATTTGGTTGAATTACTAGTCAAAAGCAGGGTACAGGAAGATATCTTTTGATTTCTGTTTATCACCCAGCTTTTTCATGGTGAAAAATCTGGCATGTCTGCTTTGTTTTGGTTATGTACTTAAGGTGTGGAATGTTCTAAGTGAATTAGTAGATAGATAGCAATGCTTTGTTCTTTGACTATTTGTTATAATATTGACTATTCAGTTACTTAGTTGAGCCAGTGATTCCAGAGACACTGCAAATGAAAACAAATCATGTACTTTTTTGTTTAGAGGGATTTTTTTGCTAGTTTGAAAAGTTTTCATTATAATATCTTACTGTCAAAGGGACACCTACCATGAATTATCTTTTAACTATTTT